GTGGTTAATATTTAATTTGATCATCGAAAATATGATGAACTTCATATTTATTAGTTCAAGTTACTGACAATAATTCAAGGACTATAAATGTTTCATATCAAAGAACACACATACGTAATTCTTAGAATTACGTTATCTTTTGAATACCACCTTAAATAAACAAGGGTACACACCTGTAGAGAATTAATAACCAAACATAGGGATATTCTGTTGCATGCAATAATGAAAGGGCGAAATAACTTTTTGTATGGTATAGCGAAATTGGCACAAATACCTTCAATCAACTTTTCATATAAATATAAAATATTAATGTAATTCCCGTAAATGCAATTAAAGGTTTTGATGGTTGATAGGCTTTGTCCAAAAGACCTTAAAAGTATAGAACAGTTTTTACAGAAGCAGGAGAGGGTTGCAGATAGACGTAGTTGAAAAAATATAACTTACACGTTCACTAAATTATTCATCAAGAATTACGTAAAAAGTATTAAAAAATACTTTTGTGAGATTTTTAGTACCTCAGTCGCAAATTTTGGATTATTTGTAATCCATGTAGGTGATGTACAAGGTATCCAACATTTGTAGCTATTGCAGCGTATAAAGAATTGATTATTTTATGTTCCATCCAGCTAATTTATACAGGGTGTAACAGAAATAAATGCCGAGCATGCAGAAGGTGATAGAACACTATAAAACAAGAAAATTAGGTAAATAGTTGTATGTCCGAAGGTTTACCGTTTTGGAGAAAAACGTGGTAGAAAGTAGAGGTGAATTCAATTCCGGACCTGATAAAGAAATGCGGCACGCAACGCTGCACTCAATCAGCTGTTGATTACCACCATCAGTGTACTATTTGTTTCGTGTTTTTGTGCTCATTCATATTTGATTTCTTAGATTACATTAAGTGTGAATAGGGTGTTTTTATGTTAGAATGTATAAGGCAAACCATGTGCAGTTCAATAAACTAATTCAGTAATACAACATCAATTATTAGCGTAAGTCAGTTGTTACAGTATTGCGGTATGATATATATACGGGTTTGAACCGTATGGCCGCTGTAGGGACGAAAGCCTCGATTTCAAAGAAGACAATCCCCAAAATTATGTGTAATACTAAATTGTTTATGTTTATCTTCGACGCTCAGTAATCGGAAATGTTTACATTTTCCATCCATGTAGCTGCAGAGTTTTTATCGCACTGCGCTATTCGGTAGACACCTATGTTTACAATTCACGCACAGGACCGGCTTCGGATTGTAAATTATTGTGATTATTTCTGTTACACCCTGTATACAAGTTGAGTAACCATTTTAATCCTAATTATTATGTCATGAGTAATACGTAGACTACTGGTTTGTCAAATTTTAACATTTTTGATGTAAATATAAGGTTTTTATGGCTTTTACGCAAAAATGAAATAACGAATTTACTGGTTCTTTAGAATATTGTAGATTATCGTTTCTTAATTAACTCAATTGTCATCCAGTAATATCAGTATTGAGATGACTTCTGAAACTGATCAAAAGACTTATTGACATCTTAAAACAAATTAGATTATTTGAGATTTACGAACAGTAACCTTTGTGACAAAATGAATGTACATACATAAGTAAAGGACAATTGAAAAATTAAAGTACAAAAACGCTTCCATTTTCTTACCGCTCGCATTCCATCCACCTTCTACTTGATATGCAGAACTGGCACAACCAATTAAAAAATCTTCTGGTATTTTGTACACTTCTTCGCTAAAAGTACTTGTAAAAATAGCACACGTTAAAAGTAAACTCGTAAACATTTTACTCTTTTCACTCAGAATATTCCGGACATAACTATTGAAAATTGGGCATTTCTTTTAACTTATAAATGCTAACGTTTCTTATCACTGCTGGTGTAAAAGAATTTTAAACATGAATATGAATAAATATAAATACAAATTTTATGTTTCGTAGAGATTCCACGAATGCATTTTACGTAACATTTGCATTTTAAAAATCGAACTGATTGTATAATTGACGGAAAATTGTCAAAAATGTTACTCATTACATATCTGTGCAATTATATTNACATGCGTTTATATTTTGCAAATAAATTAATATTTAGATTCCTGGAAGACTTTGGCAGCCAATGCGGTGGACGATGACTGAGATTGTAAAATGTTTATGTCAGAACAAAATACTAGGATTAACGATAATGGGAATTATGATAAAGTTAAGGAAATTGAAATATCAAAAGATTAACAAAACAATATACAATTTAGGTCTTTCAATTTCAAGCCCCCCCTTTAGTTTCTCAGAAGTTATTGATCCAGGTGTCAAAGCGTGACCTTTGATGATGTTAATCGCGACTTCGATGTATAGATTAAAAAGTAGCGGTAACGGTATCCATCCCTGTTTGACTCCCTTCCTAATATTTACTTCTCTACATTGCACCCCTACATTTTTAAGTATATTTAACATCTTCTCTCATTATGGGATAACCTAGCTCATCTATCTCCACATTATATTCCTTCTCTAATATATCTCCTCACTCATGGCCTGCGTATAGGTTCTCTTAATATTCTATCCATCTATCTGCCTTTTCCTCATTTTTTACCAAAATGACCCCTGCCTCGTTTATTACATCTACTACATCTCTAAAATTCCTTTTAATTATATTATAAGCCTCATCGGTTTTACCTACCTCAAACTTTTTGGAGAAAAAGGAGAAATGTCAATAGTGCCGAAAAATTATGAACCTAATACTGTACTCATGACTACAAGTCCACGAAGTTTTGTGCAAAATCGTTTGTTTAAGCCATACTTAACAGTAGGGAATCTAGGGGTTTAATCCTTTATCTCCTAATGCATTTATTTATGACAGAAGTTTCGCATCTTAGATTTTGTCATATGATTAAACCCCTAGATTCCCTACCCTTAACAACTAATTTACTTAGTTTCTTACCACTTGCGTTCCAGCCACCCTCTACCTGATACGCTGATGTGGCAAGCCCGAGTTTAAAACCATCTGGAATTTTATATAATTTTCCATTTATAAAAGCTGCGCAAACAGTAAAAGTTAAGAGTAATTTCGCAAGCATTTTGTTAGACGTTCTAGGAAACCTTCTTGAATACTGATGACGTTTCTATATACTGCTTCGTATAAATGCTAACCGTGTTATCCTTGCAAAAAAATATTTCACGTCTTAATTAAGCAGNATAACCAAGCTCATTTATTTCCACACTATCTTCCTTCTCTAATATATCTCCTAACTCGTGACCTGCGTATAGGTTCTCTAAATATTGTTTCCACCTATTTGCCTTTTCCTCATTTTCTATCAAAATGACCCCTATCTCGTTTGTTATATTATTATTACTGTACCCTACATCTCTAAAGTTCCTTTTAATTATATTATAAGCCCCATCGGTTTTACCTACTTCAAACTTTTCTCCTACTTCTTTACACCTCCTATAAATCCACTGCTATTAGTGGTATCGAATGCAAAGTAGATGAGTCTGTTTAGGTGTACATATGTGGAGAAAAGTCAATAATGCCGAAAAAGCTTAATACTGTACTCATGACTACAAGTCCATGAAGTTTTGTGTAATATCATTGTGTTTAAGCAATACTTAACAGTAGGGAACGTAAGAGTTTAATCCTTTATCTCCTAATGCATTTATTTATGACAGAAGTTTCGCATCTTAGATTTTGTCATATGATTAAACCCCTAGATTCCCTACCCTTAACAACTAATTTACTTAGTTTCTTACCACTTGCGTTCCAGCCACCCTCTACCTGATACGCTGAAGTGGCAAGCCCGAGTTTAAAACCATCTGGAATTTTATATAATTTTCCATTTATAAAAGCTGCGCAAACAGTAAAAGTTAAGAGTAATTTCGCAAGCATTTTGTTAGACGTTCTAGGAAACCTTCTTGAATACTGATGACGTTTCTATATACTGCTTCGTATAAATGCTAACCGTGTTATCCTTGCAAAAAAATATTTCACGTCTTAATTAAGCAGGTATAATACCTATATACGCATTTCTCAGTGATTGGTTTGACATTTTCATATAAGTACCTACATTCACAAGAATTTTTGCATGTTTTTGTCTG